GGGATGATGGGAATGAGTTATTAGTACCTGATTATCCGACAAATGTTTATTGTGAATCCTGTTCTCTGAGTCTTCCTAATGATAGTGTGAAATCAATGAGAAGTAATATTGGTGAAACATCATATGTATCGACTCAATATTCATCTATAAGGTATCAGTTATTAACTTTGATTATAAGGAAAGTGTTTTCAGAAGAGACGATGGTTTATGATGGGTCTCCTTTGGTTTTTTATGATGATATACGTGGGCTGAATTTGGTTATGGGATTTAAACTTTATGATGAACACGCTAGAGGTAATGAAAGACGTTATTGTTTAACCTTTACCATTGATTCAGACGACCATCAATCTTCGATGAAATTACTAGCTAATAATTGGAATTTTATCAAGTGTGGCTTCGAGAAATTCATTGCATATATACGACAGACTTACGAGAGTGAGAATGAAAAAAGAGAGATATCAAATAGAGATAATGATAATTTGACGCCATTAGTTGGTACTTATTTAAGAGCAAATAAAGTTAAGATATCAAGAAATTTGGTGGAATTGATAAAAGATGATATGTTGTTTTTAAGACTACATAGATGGAATGCATACCTTTTAAATGGCATTTTGAACAATAATGATTGAAGTTCATTTTCCAGCTAAAGCTTTATCTTTATAAAGTTAAACTTTGATATTTATGGAAGAAGTATTGACAATGCAGTAGTAAGAAAGGATAGTTTACATTTGGTGTCTTCGTGAAAAGTATTGTATTCTTTATTGATTTAATTTTTCTAATTATGATTAAAAATATATGGGTTAGGATTTATTTATTCATGTGTTTATACAGTTCCTGGTTTAAACGTTTAATTTAACTTCTTGATCATTAATATATTTTTGGAATGGTTCCAAAGCATTCTTGACATCTTTGTTGATGAAATTTTCAACTTGTCTTGGAGCTCTACCAACAAAAGTAGAAGGTTCTAATAATGCATCTAATTTACCCCAAATAGGTTCGAAGAAGCTGTCGCCTTTGATACGCTCTATTAAATCGTTATCACCACCGTGTACTTTAACAACTTCAGCAGCTTGATGAGATAAAACTCTAATTGCTTCGTGAACTTCTTGTCTAGAAGCACCAGTTTCTACCATGGCCATAATGATATTTTCAGTTGCCATGAATGGTAGCTCACTCTTAATTCTTCTTTCAATAACCTTAGGGTAAACAACCAAACCAGACGAAATGTTTAATAGGGTTGATAACAATATATCGGCAGTTAAGAAAGCACCAGGTAAAGAAATTCTTCTGATGGCAGAATCATCTAGGGTTCTTTCAAACCATTGAACAGATGCAGTTTGTACAGCATCACTGAATAAAGAACCTAGATGTCTTGCTAATGAACAAACACGTTCACAACGCATTGGATTTCTCTTGTAGGCCATAGCAGAAGAACCAATTTGAGACTTTTCAAAAGGCTCTTCAACTTCTTTTAAGTTGGCTAATAATCTTATATCAGTGGCCATCTTATGTGCTGTAGCAGCAAATGAAGATAATGGGGCCAAAACATCAATATCAATTTTTCTTGAATAAGTTTGACCAGTAACTGGATAAACAGTATCAAAACCCAGTAATTCGACAACTCTCTTGTCTAAAGCTTCGACTTTGTCATCGTCACCATGGAATAAGGCTAAAAAGGAAGCTTGAGTACCTGTGGTACCTTTGACACCTCTTAGACCAATATCATTTCTTGCTCTAACAAAATTTCTTAAATCCCATAGTAATTCTTGAATCCATAAGGTAGCACGCTTACCCATAGTGGTTAATTGAGCAGGTTGGAAATGAGTCCAACCTAGAACTGGTAGGTCTTTATATTCGGAAGCAAACTTGGCTAACCTGTCGATAACATTGACTAATTTTGGAATGATAATATCATAAGCATCTCTTAAAAAGATCAAATCGGCATTGTCGGTAACATAACAAGAAGTAGCACCCAAGTGAATGACACCAGCAGCTGCAGGACAAGTTTCACCAAAAGTATGAACATGGGCCATGACATCGTGTCTGACAATTGCTTCTTGAACAGAAGCCTTTGCAATTTCTTCATCTGTAATAGTTAAATTATTACGCATTTGTTCAATTGCTTCATCAGATATGACAGTCAAACCCAACTCTTGTTCTGCAATAGCCAAATTCAACCATAACTTTCTCCAAGTTGAGAATCTGTTTCTCAATGAGAAAACAGCAGACATTTCTTCAGAAGCATAACGAGAAGATAAGGGGGTAGTATACTTATCAAAATCTGACATTATTAATCAATTGGTAAACACAATGGAGAGGGAGAGGCAATGTTATAGCAACTTATTTATAGCAAAACTTAATTAAACACTTTTACCAAAATTTCAAACAAAAAGTCTCCTAATCAATGAACTGTTAGGGAAGATATATCGATTCGATAAATTTTTTGAAACTTTTAGCAATTTATACTTGTCTTAGCAGTTAGATAATTCTGGTTTAGCAGTACAAAATACAATTGGATTGGTTATATTTAAACAAGGACTAATAAAACATTAATACATTTATTGATACAATTTATGATTAACCAATTTATACATATATATTTATATATTTATATGCTTATATATGTTTAACCTTTCCCTCCTTCCATATTATTAAAATTATAGATTTTTATTCGCACAATTTTTCAATATTAAGTAGGGAAATTGACTTTGACTCTGGAAAAGCTGATTGGGAAAAGAGAACATATACAGACAGACCTCAACCAGTTCGATGAAATGGTTAGGTTGGATAATGTATTGTAGTTGTCAGCTTCAAACTGATCAATTGAAGAATCGAAAAGGTTACTCATGGTGATAATGATAATGACAATGACAATGATGATGATTATGATTATGATGAAGATGATGATGACTTATAAAAAAGAACAGCAATAAGGTGAGAAAAACAAAAAAAATTAGAAGAAACCTTGGTTCTTTCAAACTTCAGTTCTTTTCACTTAGTCCCTACTGCTTCATTTTTAATGGTCTTAATAGCTTAGATGGTGAAATATCTAACGTCGTTACTTTATTAAGTTGATGAAGGTTCGCTAGACGATAATTTAAAGGCCATGAAATTAGCAGAAGGTCTAAGTCCTAAAGGAAATGATCCTGGTAAGTTTTCCTTCTTTGATTGAGAATCATTAACATGTTGTAATTGAACGTCTTCTTGAATTGAATTACTACTAGCTGTTTGGTCGCTTGAATCTAATGGTTCTTCAATTTCCTCATATTCTATTTTTAATTTCTTGTTTGTCGCAAAACAACTGTTTAGTGGTAATTGCAAATGCTCATCCCCAGAGTTTAACATTCTTTCTTCAATGGCTACACTTGGACCCTTGAACCATAAAATTTCACCTTTGCGCTTACGCTTTTTCGCTTCATCTTTGCCTAATCTTTTTACTATACTTCCATAATCGGATCTTTGTAAAACATCAACATTTTTCGTAATTGATACAGGAAGCACATAGGCCCCAGAAGTATCGATTACAATTTGGCCTAAAGTTGCCTTCGATGCCTTAGATGTTAAATTATTTACAATTGTAGTCAAATTGTAACCAGATGCTTGGGACTTCTTGTGTTGCTGTTGCTGTTGATGCTGTTGCTGAATCTTGTATAATTGATGCTGTTTCAAGCCGTGTACAGTAATATTTGAACCCATACCCACAGCTTGTGGAGTCGCTTTCATTCCATCCATTGTAGTCGAATTATTCTGTGGATAAAATGATTGACCACCTGGAACAGCCATCATTGGTAATCCGGTGGATGATCTACTCTGTCTCATTGTGGATAGACGAGTTCCGGATCCACCACTCGATCTAGGTAAACCAGTCATTGACAAGCTACTAGTTGTAATCGTACCCATTTCAAAATCTATTTTACCATCTTCTGGTGGATCTCCAGGCCTTATGATGTAACGTGGGCAGTCATCAGATGTAGAATATTCACCTAAATCATCACGTTTTAATTTAGGTCTTATATATACTCCCCCAGCAATTGGTGGTGCATTAGGGGCACCTTCCTTCGGTTGCGGTATTGGATCCGTTGCAGTAGCATTGGCTGGCAATAGGTGCTTGATTGGTGATGCATATTTGAAGAATTTCCTACCGTTAATTGGAATTGTGACTTCTTCTTGATCACGAATTTCTTCTGGTAAGCAAGCCTTCCAAGTTCTGATCTTATTAAAACCTTTGTCATTTTCATTGTAACGAAATTCACAAACAAACAAAGGACCATCGATTTTGATATCTGGATCACCACGTTGATATCTAGTAAAATGTACTACATAACCTTTTCCGACTAATTCAGATGTTAAATGATCTCTATATTGACCCGTTTTAAAAACTTCATTTTTATAGAAAAGTCTATCAACTCTATGAACAGTTTGTTCAGGTCTTATGTACCAGCACGCATTAAACCATTTTTTACCATCTGAGGTACTCCATAGTTTAAAAATTTGGCCAACTGTAGGTTTTGTGGGGTCATTAGGGTTATTTATTAATGCCCAGTCACCGATAACATATTTTGTTCCGTTAACTACTATATCATCTAAAGGATATCTTAATTCACCTTCTGGCATGTAATCCGTATCTGGCTTTGATAATTCTTGACGTGAATATTCAGCAAACCTCCTCTCTAACAGATTTGCACGCTTTAATGCTTGTGGATTTGATCTATAATAAAGTTTATAATTTGCTACCATTAGGTTCATATCATTTTGAAAGCCTTGGAAATCCTTGTACTTTCTTGTTTTGACTTTTTTGAAAATTTCTTCTAGAGGCATTGGATTAGAAATAATAGATAGATATTTTGTTTCTTCATGTTCATCCGGTATTTTTTCGAAAGTCGCAGTTAATTGTCTTTTAGACTCATCTGTTTCTCTTCTTAACATTTTTATGACATTTTTCATTCTTTGTACATATGGAAGATCGATGACAGGTGGTCTACCACGCTTTACATGGGTCTTCCGTGGTTTCCCTGGTTGTGGTGTAGTTGATTGTGAATGGCGTTGAGAAGCTGGGGATCGACTGTGTAAAGTTGTTCTTTGAAATGTAATCTTTGCAGTACGAGACTTTCTTCCATCATTGTAATCATCATCACGATCATCATGGTCGTCATAATTTTCATCATCTTCATCTGAAATTGACATGCTGCTATCATTTTTCTTAATTACTGTTTGTATCATCTTGGTTGGTGTATTGACAATATTTTTCTCTGGAGCTAATTTCTGTTGAGCCTCTAATTCATCAGGTAATAAGCCTAAATTTGGATATTTCAAATGTGGGTAATATTCCTTTAATTTAACTAAAATATTTTCCTTAATAAACTTTTCTAATATACTAGCATATCCATAAATTTGGGAACCTTTTGTATTATAAGTTTTAGCATTCCATGGTATTTGAGCAAGATCATTCATAAAATTTTGAGCATCAATATAATGAGGAACTCTTTTCTTCAAAGTATTGAAAGAAACAGGATTCTTAATAACTGCATAATAATCAGGATAATCCTTTTTAATAGGCAAAGTATCAAAAATAGGATGTATTTCAATACCGTTTTCTTCCTTTATTTTAAATAATTCTTCGTATTGTTCTCTAATCCTTTTTAGTAGAGCACGTTGTTCTTCCGAAACAGCAGTAGCAGCTCTACCACCACCTTCAGCATGCCTTCTCATCATCATATTGGATGTAGCTACTCGTTAATGGCTGTCTTTATGAATGAATCCTTAATTCTTTTGAATACTATCCACCTATTCATTCTTTCTTATAACCATTTTAACATATTCAATTGTTTGTTTGTTAACTTCAATTTGAAGCGAGATGACATATTCGCGATATTCCGGGTAACTTTCTAAAAATTGATACCGTTGGCGTCAGTAATAATAGAGTCAGGAAAGGTCTTTAATATACAGAGATGTGCGTTTCAGATAAGTTTAGTTACTTCTAGGAAGCCATCCAGTTGCTTAAATTGATTGTTTATGTTATGTAATGACAAGAAAACACACACACACACACACACACAGAAAATACCAACATAACAAGTTATTTATAGGGATAAAAAATGATTAAAGTAATAAAATAGTTCGAAATTGAATGCAGATTAAATATAATTATGTCTCTAACTAAAATTACAGAAATGGTTAAAATAGACATCTTGATTGTGATGCCAACAAATGCAATATTAATATTAACCTATTATGATGAATGTTAAAGAAAATGCTTGATCTATCGTTTGGGATCATAAAATGTGGGAAGATGGTTTATTAATCGGAATTACTTGTTGTTGGATTGCTAACTTTATTATTAATGTTAACTTTGGATAATTCCCCATTTTCTGTTTCGTAGATAACATCGTTCTGTGAGTCGTTATCTTCCTTTTCGCTGTCATCTCTTATATCTTTATCATATACCTTAATAATCTCATTTCTCCAGAATCCATCTTCACCAAGAATATCCTTGGTGACCAATTTGTATTTGAAGACTCTTGGTAATATTTGAGTCCAGACACAGTAGTATAAGGCACCGATACCAAAGACCAGCCAAGCGATAACACAGTGAATCCAGTAAGGCAAATGTTGATACACAGATTCACCATTGGTTGGTGGAACGTATGGAGCAACGACCAAATATAAGTTGGATAAAGCAAAGAAAGAAGTAACAATGACACCAGCCTTGATTGGAGGGTTCCATTCGATAAGGCCCTTTCTACGTTGCCAGTAGATCCATAACAAACCACAACTGACAGCCAAATTGACAATATTCATTGGGTAAGAAATCAAGTTCAAAATGAAGTTATAAGCATCACCTGGTGGAGGAGCCAAAATTGTAACAACACAGACGATGAAATGTTGGAATAGACCAACCATTGGTGAGTTCAAAGGCTTGGAACTGGCAAAGAAACTTGAGAATGGCAAAACACCTTCACGACCTAATTGTTGAATGATTCTACCCTGTGAGAAGACGACAGCCATGACATTACCCAAAGCACTTAAACCAACGATGGCAGAGGCTGCCTTTTTACCACTAGAACCAAAAACAATATCAAAAAAGTCAGCAGCCAAAATCAACTTAGAGCTTCTCAAAGTTTCCTTTGGAACGACAGCGAAGTAAGCGATATTAACGAAGATATAAATAATAGCAACGAAGACCATTGAAGTTGGACCAGCAATTTTCAAAGTTCTAACAGGATCTTTAACTTCACCCAAGGCGTAGTTCACATTTGAGTAACCAACAAAGGACCAAATAACGTTATATAATGCATTAACGATACCATAAGCGGTAGCATTTTCAGTACCTTCAAAAGCATTGTGGAAATTGTCAGTCTTGTAACCATGCTTTAAACCACCACCAAGTGCAACCCAACCGGTGATAGAGATGAATATAACGATGACAATTTTGAAAATACCCAAACAGTTTTGAATGTATAAACCAGTTTTAACACTTAAAGAGTTGACTAAGAATGCAAAGCAGACAACAGCGCAAGCTAGACCTCTTTGATTCCATGTGGTAATTGTAACTTCACCGGCAGTTAAAAACATGACTGCAGTATTGACGGAATTACCAGCAGCCCAACCTAGGAAGAAAACATACGATGCATACATTGAAGTAATCAAAAATTTGGGTTTCTTAAAGATCATTTCTAAATAATTTTTTTCACCACCATTTTTTGGAATTGCAGTACCAAATTCCATATAGACATACAAACCAGAGGTAGCGATGATGGCACCAATAGCCCATAAGATTAACGATAACCCAATAGAACCAGATAAAGTATAAATTGTAGAAGAAACGGCAAAGACACCGGTACCCAGCATTCTATTACAAATCAAACCGATACATGAGAATAGACCTAATCTTTTTTCACCTTGATCTAATTGAGTAACAAATTGTTGACCAGCCTCGACGTCTGAATTCTGATCATTTGAAACAGTTGGTTCTACCTTCGCAGATGATGTAGAGAAGGAATAATTTTCCTTATTGAATATATTTAATTGTGAGACAAAGGACCTTTTAGAATCCGACATTGTCTTACTTTTATAAATTGTGAACGATTGAACAATTAATAATGAGTTTTGTGTAGTTATATTAATTGATCAAGAGTTGTAAAGAAGTAGGAAAGTGTTACGAGATCGGAAGCGAGTATTCACAACAGTTTTGATATCATTGATGTCTTTATATATATATAATTTAAATGGTATTAGATAAGGAATAACGAGGGGGAGTAGTACTAGTGTGAGATGAGTCTTAAAATTAATTTGTAATAGCGATATAATCTTTTTTGGTAAACTACTACCACCACCACCACCACAACCACAACCACAACCACAACTACCGCCACAACTTCCACCACACTTACGTTTAGAGATCCAATGTGTAAAAGAAAAAAATTATTTCAGTATCACCTTCAATTGTCAAAAAATTTTCTTTTTTTTTCTCTGTAACTTTTACCTCTAGAGAAGTAAGTAACATACACTTACTTTTACCGTCTCTTGCACTAACATCTCTCTATCCTTTCCAAACTAATTCATTCGACTCCTGTATACTATCTGGCGCTTCATTAATTCATCATCACCTTAATGAACTCTTCGTAAGCTGGTTCGATATCGAAATCTATCACGATAAATAAATTATTTCAATTCAGAGCTAACCGTCATATTTCTCTGGACGTTTCTGACGAAATTGCTTAACCTTACTATTAGTAACATCAGTTGGCTGGACAAGAATCCAAAAGAAAAGCCTCGAGAAAACTGGTATACGTTAAGAAAATACTCAGGCCTATAGGTGATGCAACTTGTTCTCTGGACGTTTCTTCGTAAAAATATTTTTCTCGAGCAAAAAGAAATGCTTGCCGGACAAGCACCGGAGAATGTAAGGTTTATTTTTTTTTATTTCTCGAGCGAAGACATTCCGGCAGCAATGCAATGCAGGTTTCTTTTGTAGTTATGCATATTGCCACAGGCGTTTCTGAGTCAATTTTTCACAGACACGCACACAAAAAATACAAGATGATGTTAGGTTAGCTGTGTACGCTTGCTTCTTCGGGTTCTTCCCAAAACAATTGGTATTTTCGTTTTCCTTTTTTTTTTGCTTCTTTCAGTTTTTGAGTTTTCAGTGTAACCCAGACACAAAAGACTAAAAAAAATAAATTAAACAATAATTGCAGAAAATGGTATGGGCTACGCAACTTATACTTGTCTCTGTATCGCGTCAGCATTGCATGAATCTTTCTTTGGCTTTCTCTGGTTTGATCTTTTCGTGAGATATGACTGTGGCGTCTTCGGTTACTCTGGTCAAGAAACGGAAGAGAGATGGGAGACAGTGAAAGGGAAATATACCCGAACCTTCAATAGTAACTAGGTCCGTAAAGGAATAGTGGGCAAGTTGAATCAAAACCGGTTCTCTGTTTATTCTCTCCTAACTGTGTGCACGTGATATGGTCCACATAATAAAACAACATTTTGACAATGTGTTCAAAGAAACCACCCTTCCTCTGTAGTCATTGAATCATACATTAAATTTCAAAGTGTGGTGAGAAGCAACATGGAGGGAGACATCATTGTATTATTAGGTTTTATTCCACCATACTATATCCTATTCAGATTGTAATAGATAGGAGAATTATCAAGAGAAGAACGGTAGTTGATAAAATGTAAAAACTTCACGTGATTACATAGCGTCTAAAAGGAATTTCTATTATCGTACGGTATTGTGTTTATAAACACCCCTTTCCTCCAATTGGATAACAAAGTGCTCTTTGGATCGTTAATTGAAGTCTATTAATACCAATGATTTGGTTATTTAGTTGCCATTGCGTTATGGTAAAAAATAAAGAGATAGAAATAAATTTGTCATGTGATCAAATTACACGTGCTGTCAACTTTTATCACGTGTGTTTTGTTGTTATCATGTGACCTGGTCTATATCACTGACATTTCTTTTGAGACATTAATATTAACAATATATCTTTCAGCCATAAGAACCAACTATATTTATAGTCAGTCGTACACAACAATAAGTTATATCTCTATATTTAATCCCTACACAAGAATGAGGAAACAAAGATCGACTTTCGAAATGAATGTATCCATCTATATATATATATATATATTCATATAATTACGAAAATGTCCTTTGGCATGAATATCTCTTGCATATCAAGGGGGGGGGGCATAATAATATTATTCTTGGAATTCACACAGGGGCCAACTCGTATCGATATCTCCTCAACCATGACTATCAATCTATAAAATGAAAACAAATAAAGTCAAGAAAAAAAATGGCAATCTGATAAGAAATTAGATATCAGATTAAATGTTGTCCCTAGTTTTATTGAGAAACTCCTGATAACGACAATAAAAGGTTGCATACCAATAACAACAACAAATACAAATCACTAATCTTCTATTTGGCTCTATTCCTGATAAACTTAAAATAATTGCCTTGGACCCGCATGATTATAAGGGTATTTCATTCAAAATCACACATGATATTAGTTTAATAGATAAATTTCCTACAGTATCAAATTCCCCACAACATTGAACATATTTGAATGTAAATTCCTTTGTAACCTAAATGTAGATTAGTTTTCGAGTTTGGATGGGTTCCATGCAGTAAGGAAGCATAAAAATTAAAACCCGAATGCCGGTACCGCTGTATATTTGTCCAAATTGTAACTTATTTGGAGAAGGCTTACACTGGAAGAAGATATGTATAGGCAAATACTGTCCTCAGGTTTAGAATATCTGGTTAATGTCTCTATCAGTTCACATTTTCCAAAACTGACATTACGTAAATGAATTTCAAACATAAAATAATTCAAACTTGGAAGTAATTACTATTAGCTGTTAATAAAAGATATTTCTCAAATATGATTAATCATATTTGAAGAGATAGTATCATGTATAGATCCGATGATATTATTGTAATTTCGATTGGATTTCATCCCAAACGATAAAATTAATATAGCTATGGCAACCCCTAATTTCTGTAAATATCAAAATATCTTTCTCTTAGATCAAATAATCTGAATAAAGTCTTCCATATTAGAGAATTGTTGTTTTCGAATTGAACCAACCTTAATACCGCATATGTTCTGAGATTAAAATAGAGGATATATTCAATTTTAATTTCGATTCAATCGTATCTATATATTTAAGGATTCGATAGTAAACAAGTCTCATTTGATAATCCAGTATATTGTTATCGATAATATTCTTCAAACTTAAGTACCATTGAATATCTTAATTTAATTTATTTTGTTTCATGAATAGTTAAAAAGGTCACAATTTTGGGTTATTATGTATTATCAGCACCACCTCTAACATCTTTGTAGTTGATAATTATAAAAAGTATTGACATAATGTTTGTCATCAATCAACCCCTCTGATAAGTTCCTGAATCTAATTTATATTACTGAGCTGGTAAGTATCTTTATGCTAATACCAGGGTTCTTACATCTCATCAAAGACTGAGGTCCACAGTAGTGCACATTCAAGCCAATATATTTCACTAAACTTTACATGACCAAAAGATAAATCAATTGAACTCGAAATAAAAATAATGTATTAAAGTGTATCCTCATTTGTAGAGTTCATTTCACATTAAGGTCATCACTAATAGCACCAACAGTAAGACTGGCTTCCTGAACATAATAAATTAACTTTTATGATAAACAATTTGCAGAAATCATGGACATTAATTCATAAAGGGCCTAATACTCCAATTGTGATATTTGTATCATTTTTAAAACGTGTTCTTCAAATTTTATAACCTTATAAAATTAGATATTTTATCGATTCCATTGTTTGTTTCGAATTGTGATTCCGCTTCAAAATAAATTCAAAGGTCGTTGAAATAGGTGCCAGCCATATGAAAGAAATGATAATTACTATCGCGGTAAAGGATTTATTTTGCACCCTTCAAAAGCAAATTAAGTAATTGATAAATCTATTCTTATTTATTGATAATACTATTTGAAAGGTTGTGTGTATGAAATCTTTGATGGATGATCGCTTATTTTTAGTATATCTCATCGGTACCAAAGATCCTATTAAATAATCGATTTCAAATCTTAAATTGAATGCTGACAATTAGACTAAAAATTTTATTGATTGTTATAATAATTGGCTTTGTTTTAAGTATAGTTCCTTTGAAATTTAGCTGCTTTAAGTAAAATTTCCTTTTCACAGGAGGTTCATTGGGTGTTCATATATTTACCACGGAAAGGTATCGGGCAGTTTTAGATGTCTGATTGACGATATATTTAGGAGATACGATACTTGATACTCTGGGCTCGTCAATTTATCTTGAGAATCTAATTCCCAGTTTTTAATAAATAGTACTGGTATTTTTCGATGAGAAATTATTTTCTTTTTCTTGGTCTACAAAACGTTAAAAATAAATATTACATTAAAATAAAATTCTTATATTACATTAAAATAAAATTCTTATATTACTTTAAAACTAAATATTTAAAAGTATTCTCAAACCACCCTAGCCAACAATAATCATGTACAATGGCAAAATTTTTGTTACAAGCTAGTGTTCATTTAATCACATAACCCTATATGGGTATAAATATTATCTAAGCCGGACTTTGAGTACTAATGGTTCACATGGCATTAAAGTTTCAGGAAATATTTGAGATATAATTAGTGGTCAAAATTCTATGTTTGATAATTAAAATAATTGTGTAATTTGTATTAGATATGTTATTTGTTGAGAAGGATAGGGAGGAATATTTTCACATATAAATACTATAATCTTTATCTATGAAATACTAATGAATTCTCAAGAAAAGTTGTTGAACTTGCAATAAAAGTATAATATTTCTAATATCCTCTCCAGAAAGAATATTATCAACTTTATTACCTATTATGTAAGAGATGTTTCTCTTTTATATTGATTGTCATGGAAATAATGTCATATTGAGTGTAAAACAATTCTTTAGTTTTCAATTACAAATTTATCATTTTATATTAGCATTCGGTTGATACAGTACGAGTTAAATCTTACGGGATTTCACAACCAAATATTCTAGACCTCTAACTTGTAATCTAACCTTCTATCCTTTCGTGTCACCAATCATCTTAGAATATAACTTGTGTTATTGTATCTAAAACACAACTGTCTATAGATTGTAACTAATTTAATTTTTTATAATATAAACCTTTGTTATGAATTTAACCTGCATACTAGAAGATAAAGTTTATGTCACTATTGCTGTTTTTCGTACAAGGTGAATGTATCGATTTCTCTAATATATAAAAGGAACAAATTTTCAGTTCCGATATATAAAACTATTTATGTTATATAGACTACTCTGTTACAGGAGGATGAGCGAGTTACCACTCACTGACCTCAGTAATAGGTTAACGTACCTATTTAACGTATATCTACTTACATTGAAGCTTAAAGCTTATACCATTCTGACAATCTTGACTATTTATATAATGCCTCTTGTGTCTCATCTCTATTACTGTGACACTAATTAGTTTTACCCGGACATTTATGATTATTACCATTACATAAAAACTCATTTCGGAAATACACAAGTTAATATGGTTTCGTGGTCTAGTTGGTTATGGCATCTGCTTAACACGCAGAACGTCCCCAGTTCGATCCTGGGCGAAATCAGATTAATTTTTTTCAATCAATATTGATTGAACATATATTTTTGTTCCCTGAATATTAAAGCAACATATAATAATACCCTATAGGCCCAGCAAAGGAATCCATATTCATAAAACTATTATTCTTATAGAACTATTGCATAAAACTTCAATATCTTCTATTACCCTTAAGAAATGATTGTACAATACAAAAAATGTAAACAAAGGCCCATTCCGAATTTACAAAATATTGATCTGAAAAGCAATGATGATATAAAACAAAATGAATAAAAGAATACTCACCTCTTGAAATCAAAATAAAGAGATCAAAGTAATAGCAAATAACGGTGGCTATATTTTATAGATAAATGTGTAAGAATGTCTGATTTTTCGTTATCAAAATACCTAACTACTTTCCAAACAAGTGATAAAAGATCATTTCCAGCAGTCGAAAACTCATCTGGGGAGTTAAATATAATTATAGATCAACTAGCTGTTTCACCAGAGCACATAGATGTCAACCCAGAAACATTTGAATCATTAATCGACTTATGTCATTCATTCCCTCATTTACCTCCTAAATTACAAACCCAATTAACTTATTTAGTAAGTTCATCGATGAACAATTTACTACATGATATAAATTCAATTTTAAATGGATCTTCAAATAATGTTGATATATTAGAATTATTTCCTCAGTGGAAAAGACATCTAGAAGAATATGGGTATTTATTACATGTGCTCCTAACGTTTTTACATGATGATGTACATATAGCATCATCGCAATCATCCGTTGGTCGTGGTGGGAATAGTTCAAATAAAAATGCATCTCAGAATAGAAACGTCGAACTCTTTAAAAGAAGTTGTAATCAAATCGAATCAATTGCTGAAGCAGTACTAAAAGTTCTTAGACTAAATTTATCAAGGATATTTCAGACTACCCCAGAATTAGATTTGTTCTTAAGTTTATTTCTAAGACCACTATTCGTTATTATTGAAGTCGAACCAATAGTAAAAGTAACTCATTTAAAAATGTTTATTCAACAAGTAATTGCGAGAGCAGTTAAGTTTCATGGGCAAGCTACAACAGTACAGAGCTCTATGATGTCTACTTTGACATACTTTTTGCATCTGTCAACATTCAATGCAGAGATATTGAACATTCTAAACAAAGAGTTCGACTTTTCACAACTTACTGAAGAAATATTACGTGAAATAAGTACGAGGGTCTTTAATGCAAAAGATACCACTGGGCCCAAAGCTATTTCTAATTTCTTAATAAAATTATCAGAATTATCACCACAAGTGATGCTTAGACAGATGTCTTTAGTAATTAGATTATTAAACAATAGTTCAATTACCTTACGTTGCTCTGTCGTTGAAGCTTGCGGTAATATTGTGACTGAATTAATCAAAGATCAAGAAACTCTTGACCATTATAAACAACAAATTGGCGTGCTTATGGAATTGTTAGAAGAGAGATTTCAAGATTCGAATCCTTTTGTAAGAACAAAAGCTATTCAAGGTTGTCTGAAAATTTGTGAAATGAAGGTAAAATTCAACAGGAGTAGAGTTAATTTTACAAAACTGGCTGTGAGATCCTTGGAAGATAGATCCTCACTAGTTAGACGTAACGCTGTTAAATTACTCTCGAAGTTATTATTAACACACCCATTTGGAGGTATGAATGGCAATCAATTAATTTTAAAAGATTGGGAAAAATGTTTGGAGGAAGCTACTGCCCAACTTGATAAATATGAAGAATCACAAGGAGAGACAGAATCTCTTGATGAAGTAATTGAAAGATCATTACTTGATTCCAATAATGATAATGAAAGAGAAACTCTACTAGGTGACATAATAAATAGTGAGAATAATTTGACAAGAATAGAGAAAGAATCAGAAAAAGAAAGTACTACAGATGTAAACAAATTATTGAAGATCAAATTAATGGTAGCATACTTCGAAGATGCTGTCGACTTCATTAAAGATATCCATAAGGCAATATTTTTGTCATCTAATTTACTGTCCTCCAAAAATAGAAATGAAGTTTTAGATGTAATGGACTTTCTCGTATTAACAGACGCGTATAGTTTGGAACCTAGTAAAGAAGGTATCAAAAAAATGCTACATCTAGTTTGGATGAAAGGTACTACTGATGAAGGAAAGAGTATACCAGCTCATTTAATTAGTTGCTATAGCCAATTATTTTTGACTACACCAGAGGATTATAATTACAAGCAAAAAGCTACTCATATTGCCAAGAATTTAATACAACTGACAGCTGATGCTTCGTTGGCTGATTTAGCCTCATTGGAACAATTATTATGTCTAATGTATAGCGAAAAATTGATAGATGACAACGTTGTAACAGTACTCTGGTCTATTTATAATTCAGCTACTAAAGAATCTAATTCAGATGAAGCATTGTCTCGCATACAGGTTCATGGTTCTATCATAGTTTTAGGCATGTTAGCGCTAACCAACCATAACATCGTTATTAGAGGATTTGACTCCTTAGTTAATATCGGTTTGGGTGAGATAGGTAGTCATGATCTAATTTTATGCAAATTTTCTTGCTTGGCATTGGAAAGAATTGTTCCTAAAAACAATGACAATGTTTCAAAAGCTTTGGATGACAACCATAGGGACGAAGCTATTAAAAAATTATATCTGGCAATAGCTAGATTTACTGAGGACATCGATTACTATCCAATGTGTGAACAGGCTATAAGTGCATTATTTACCATATCTGATAAACCAGACGAGATTTCAACAGAGTTAATAAAAGAAAAGACAATGATGACATTTGGTAATAGCACAGATAAGGAGAGCTCTTTTATGGAAGGTATTTCAAGAACTACATCATTGAGTCAATTGCTATTTATTGTAGGTCAAGTTGCAATCAGAACACTAGTATACCTTGAGAGATCCGAAGCTGAATTCAAGAAAAGAAAGATAGAGGTAGAAACACAGAAGGGGAAAGAGAAGATGGATGAACAAGCAGACGAAGCAGAAGTAACCGATATTGGCAATTCTACTATGAATGAATCAAAAGACAATGAGTTTGCCATGATTGGGGGTACTAATGAAGATGATTTTACAGATGCAATTATTTTCATTAAAGAAAATGAATTACTATATGGTGAAAATTCTATTCTAGGCAAATTTTGTCCAATTGTAGAGGAAATTGTGTCAAGTAATAGTCGATTTAATGATCCTATATTACAAAGGACCGCCACATTATGTTTAGAAAAATTGATGTGTGTTTCATCTAAATATTGTGAGAAAAGTTTACCATTATTAATTACAGTGATGGAAAAATCCAAAGATCCAATCATTCGTTCTAATGCAGTTCTTGGATTAGGTGACATGGCTGTCTGTTTTAACAATCTTGTTGACGAAAACACTGATTACTTATATCGTCGATTACATGATGAAAACTTAATGGTCCAACGTACATGTTTAATGACTGTAACCTTTTTGATTTTAGCTGGACAAGTAAAAGTTAAGGGACAATTAGGTGAAATGGCCAAATGTTTAGAAAATCCAGATCAAGGTATTAGTGATCTATGTAGACTATTTTTCACTGAATTGGCAACCAAGGATAATGCTATTTATAATGGATTTATTGATATATTTAGCAACCTATCAGGTGACGAATCCCTAGAAAATGAAAGTTTTAAAAGAATCACGAAATTCTTATTATCATTTATCGAAAAGGAAAGACATCAAAAGCAATTAAGTGAAAAACTATTAGGAAGATTATCTAAATGTGAAACACAAGAACAATGGGATGACATTGCATTTGTACTGAATTGTATGCCAACTAAAAATGAGAAAATATCAGAAATTTTAGAACAAGGTTTTAAAATCGTTACAGCCAGAGAATAAACACATCACATCACATTCCCTGTTCTTGCTGCTGCTGCTGCTGCTGCTGCTTTCCATACATGATGTGGTATTTAATTTTTAAACTTTATGTACATACACATTTATACAGACATCTAGATATCATATTCTAACTCTAATTCTAATATCTATCGCATGTGAGAATGGAAGGAAATCTGGCAATAACGTTCATAGAAGAACGTAGGCACGTCTGCATCTTCAAATGGTATTTCTTCCCTCCCATATGAAAATAACTAAGAGATTATAAAAGTGAATATGACTTATCAAAACAACTGTCAAGATCAAGTATTCGATAGTATCTTGCATCCCTCCCCTTCTTCCCTCTCACCCTCCCAATCGAAGTTGAGATTATCACCATCACGATCCCAACACAGACAATAAATTACAAGAAGTATATCGATTGAGCACTACAAGACAGAATGGGTTTTTAAGCAAGATTTGTTGATCTGATTGCATATGAATCAATTGGATGTCCACGTATCAATAAATTTCACTTGCTCTCAAAAATCTCAATCTAAATCTCAATCTCATCTCATTCAACATATTTCATCAATAGTTAACCTCCTTGTAGATTCGTTGTTGGTTTCGTTACTGTTGAATATTCCATAACGTTTTACGAGAAACGACATCTCTATATACTCTCTATATACTCTCTCTAACTACAGTTCCAATCACAATCCCAATCAAAATCCCAATTCCAATCCTTTAGAGTTACCATCTTTGCTTACCTCACTTGCTTTATATACCTTTAATCAAAAATCTCTTGATTCTGAAAATTTCCTGAGCTTGTTAGAGATGTGATCGATTCTGATAACTCTTTTAACTTGTTGTTGTCACCTTTGCAAAGAAAGAGAGAGAAGTACCTTTTCTTGGTTTCTAGATTCGTTTCTGTTCGGAAGTCGAAACTAAACTGCGATTCGTAAAGGTTTGTTTAGTTTTGATTTGTTGAATTTAGTATCAACATTTTTATTTTCATTACTATCTCTATCACTATCTCTATTTCTATTTATTATATACCAAGCCAAGTATATTCCTTTAATTTGGTTTGAATCTATAAATATAAAGAGGGTTCAGATAAGAAGGTTTATATTTTTTTTTTGGTATTGAAGTCGAATTTGTATCAAGCCAAGTATTAGATTGTTTTGATTCTTTGGTTCACAAGGTTTGAATATTATATTATATTATATAATATTTGATTTAGGGTGATTCTTTATCGGTGCTCCTATATATTTATCTACATTTAATTCTATTCAAATTTGGTTTAGCTGGTTTTTATTATTGTATTTGAATAGAATTGACAAGGGCAAAAAAAAACACAGACTGTATACTCGATAAGATGATTAATCCTGTAGATACTTTCCTGATATTTTTGTCACACAAATATGGTGTCGATCAGTTTATTTTAAGGTATTCCTTATGTCTATTAGGTTCTTTCTCTTTTAATACAATTTTGAAGAGATTGCCTGATGATAGAGTCAATTTAAAATGTTTATATATCATCTCTGTCTCTGCATTTTATTTATTCGGTTTATTGAACTTATATGAAGGTTTTAGAACCTTACTTATAAGTACTATGTTCACTTACACTGTTACAAGATTCTATAAATCAAAATTTATGCCTTATGTTAATTTTGCATTCGTAATGGGCCATTTAGCTTTAAACCATATTTTTGCTCAATTCCTATCTCCTACCACAGCTGTCACTGATAGTATAGATATCACAGGTTCACAAATGGTGTTAGTTATGAAATTAACCTCTTTTGGTTGGTCATACTACGATGGTGCTAACGCTACAAAAGAGGAATTCGATTCTTTAACCCAATATCAAAAAGATCGCGCTATTACATCTCATCCTTCACTATTGAAGTTCCTTGCTTTTGCATTCTTTTATCCTTCTCTATTAACAGGTCCAAGTTTCGATTTCGCTGACTTCGATAGTTGGTTAAATTGTGAACTATTTCATGATCTACCTGAATCAAAGAAACCAAAAAGTAGATTGCAACCTGAAAAGAGAAGACAGATCCCTAAAAATGGTAAATTGGCATTCTGGAAAGTTTTGCAAGGTTTAACATGGATGATCTTAAGCGTCGTTGGCCCAATGTATATCCCAATAAACTATATCAATGATAAACAAGCATTCTTAAACCATTCCTTCCTATATAGAATCCATTACATGTATTTGGTGGGCCTGGTCTTTAGATTCAAGTATTATGCTGCATGGACTATATCCGAAGCATCATGTATCTCTTGTGGTTTAGGCTACAATGGTTACGACCAAAAGACTCAGCAAATTAAATGGAATCGTGTTCAAAACATCGATATCCCTGGTGTCGAATTTGCACAAAATACCCACGATTGTTTGGAGGCTTGGAATATGAATACAAATAAATGGTTAAAAAATTCGGTATACTTGCGTGTTAGTAAAAGAGGTAAAAAACCTGGTTTCAGATCTACTCTTTTCACTTTCTTAACTTCTGCATTCTGGCATGGTACCAGACCAGGTTATTATTTGACTTTTGCTACCGGTGCATTTTATCAAACATGTGGTAAATTTTACAGACGTAACTTTAGACCAATGTTTTTGAAAGAAGATGGTGTAACTCCAGGTCCTTTCAAATGGGCTTATGATTTCATTGGTTCCTACGTAATTAAATTAGCTTTCGGTTATCTAGCCCAGCCCTTCATCATACTAGATTTCCGTAAATCTTTGGAAGCATGGGGAACTGTTTACTATTATGTTCACATCGGTGTTGCTGTAACTTTCTTCTTATTCAAGGGACCTTACTCCAAATCTGTTGTAAAATTCTGCAAAAGCAAACAACCTAAGGAAATTGTTCTAATGGATCAAAAGAAATTGGAGAAGACAATATCTGAAAGTTCTGGTTCTCTAGCTGAAATTTTGAAACAGAAAGCAGAATTTGAAGAAGAAGAACAAGCTAGAAGTGAAGATATCAATTTAGGAGTTGCCGAAATTGATCTTTCGGAATGGAGTAATGTTAAAGATGAATGGGGTGAATTTGTTAAAGACTACTCAGAATGGAGAGATAATAACGGACTTGAAGTCGAAGAAGAAAATTTAAAGAGAGCATTTGGTAAATTTGTTGATGAATTTTCAGAAGTTAGCAAGAAAGGTATACCAAGAGAAAGAAAAATGAGTTTTAGCGCCTTTTCACCAATCCCTTTTTCTAAGAAAAAATGATATCCATGATAATAATGCATTGTATTTTTCTGACCTACTTGTATAGTATATATTGATATAATTACATACTCTGTCAATAATGTATTTCTAATGTTTTTGATACATTTATATTAATCTATCGTTGTAAAATATAAACAAGCCTTTTAAAATTCATCAGGATTAAATAGATCCAGATCTAAGTCCATATTATCAGCTTCTGCTTCACTTCCTTTTTCATTTTCTTCAGCTTTTTCATTTTCCTTTACTTTATGACTACCATCATAAACAATTGAACCCATGCTAATATCACCTTCGTTATCGACAGTGATTTTTTCTTCTTCAATTGGTTCAGTGGATTTATCAGGTTCAGTGGATTTATCAGGTTCAGAAGCTTCCTCCGGTTCATTCGGCAGTTTTGTCAATTCTTTGCTATGTAATGAAGCCATTGCTAACATACCTCTTCTTAGCGCATCTTCAGCTGGCCAAATAAAATTATTAGGACCAATACTTCCTTTATTGAAAGTTGGAGGAATTTTTGTAAATTTTGATAATTTGGTAGCATAATCCAATAATAGTTTTGAGTTTATTTTTGATCTTTGTTTTAGGATAATGTCTTTTTCAAATTCAACTTGCTCTAACATGGGTAAACTGTTAAGTAATCCGTGACACTCGTTTAACGTTCCTAGAATTTCTTTAGTTTTAGTATCTAATTCTGCAGCTTCTTTGTCACATTCTTCCAATTTGGTACTTATTTTATCATATTCAACAAAAGAATCTAAACTTTTAAATAATCGTTCATCAACGTCAATTAATTGATGTGCCAATTTTACATCGGGTTTAAACTTATCTACTGATTCCACTAGCTTAAATAGGGTATTTTCATATTCGGAAATATCATTGTATATTTGTACTTTTGAAAGATCATTGCTTTCATTATTATAATCTATCATATTTAGACTATTTGTAGAGATAGAATTTGTATTATCTGTCATTAAAGAGACAGATGATATGGACTTAACATGTCCCATTATATTTTCACTCATTTTTCCCAGCAAATGTTCTGTAAAACTCGAATAGGCACCAAACAGTATCCAAATACAACCAATCCTGATCACTCAATTACAACCTTTAGACCCTTTCAATCAGATAACAATTGATATCTTGTTGCTTTACATAGAATATCTAAACTTCTTATATGTTAAATTTAGATGTATATATACATTTGAATAATATCCATATTTCAGTTAATACATAACGTGTATAATGACTAATATTTTTCACCATATACAATGGAAAACAAGAGCAGATTTGCGTATGACAACGTTACAACTATTGGCAATTGCTTAAACAAGAAACTAACTTATATGAGGAACGATACAATATATACAACATTAATATTATGTGTATATGTAGTTATAACTTTCTCTTCTCTTTGCGCCTCAGACAAGATGAATCGTCAAGATGGAAATTACTGTCACCAAGAAACCTGACAATGCAGATGAACCATGTCATGTATGCTATGTTTGAAAATAGGTAGTCTAGTGTGTACAAATTTTTGTATTATATTATATGGAGATTCAATTATATATAAATATAGATCAAGATTTTGTCATAATAGGTTTTAAAACAACAATAATAATTAGTAACAAAAAACCATCTCAAATAACGACAATGGAGAAAGCAGGAAGATTGGTTCCACCAATCTCTTGGAAGAATTTTTCACTTTAACTTGGAGATGCTGCGGTTCACTATTTATATATGTTTTGAGTTATTTTAATCTTGTTCCTCTCGATATTCAACTTGAATTCTCATATATGATTAATGTTTTCATAATTCTATTAAGACATTGCGATTCGTCAATCGTTAGAGTTTATCCATATTTGAAGGGTTTAATGAAGTATTTTTAGATCAGAGATTATATATACATACACCAGGGGTAGGGCACTATTTTATTTTAATGTTTCTTGTTTTTTTTTTTGTTACATTGATTTATTCGTCTTAGCAATATATGCAAATTATTTTTAGTGGCCTTCGTCAAAAGTATTAATAATAGCAGGAGTTTTAGGAATTCCGTCACTTTCTAATTGTTTCTCTACTTCATCTTTCAAACCTCTCTTCCATAAGTCTGTATTTTCACCAATAACATATGTCAAAGTCTTATCTTGGTAACCGTTTGGACCTAAGAAATTTAGATTATCAATGATTTCATCTAACAAGATTGCCTTTCCTGCAGCCATGTTGTCCTCCAAACCTGCATGTTTAATATTAACAATGTGGATATGGAAATAGTAATATGAAGGTTGGTAATGAACAAATATCCTTAATTCATCAGCATGGACACCATAGTTGTAGCAAGCAGGAACGATTGATCTAATCTTGTTGTTAATATTAATTAACCAGTCTCTATCGGATGGTTTTAAATCTCTGACAGAAGTAAGGTCATTTCTATAAACGATGGCCACTAGATATAGGGAATCTAAATTGACACCATCCCACTTGGTATTTGGCAAAATGACAAAGCCGTCTCTTTTTGAATCTTCAGAAAAATCTTTATACACCACTCTGTCAGCTTCAACATCTTCATATAAAATTTCATTAACCCAACTCAATTTCCCCTTTGCTATCGACTCATCGATGTAGGGTCTAACTATATTTTTATATATTTCAGGGGTTTCTCTTATTAAATGGTAACTCTGCTTTTCATATCTCTTGACATGAACAGTTGAAGCAGGCCAGATGATGTTCAATCTTGCAGTAGGGCTTTGCTCAATGTCTTGTTTAAGAAGAACCAACCCCCAATGATAAATGTCATTTGAAGCAATTTCAGTGACTTCTTCGATACCATTTACACAAGAATATTCGTTTTCGCAATGGTAGAAGATAGGAGGGTTATTATCGTCTTCGTTAGAATCATTAAAGTTCAGATTATATTGTGACCTTTTAGTTTCATCGAACAGGAAATGAGTTTTCTCAGCTGTTAAAATAGCATCTTTATCGTCGATTTTACCCAATAGAGATAAAACCTTTGTTTGCGGATTGGAATCCAAAACCCTTACGAATTTGAATCTATTGACTAAGTTTTTAAACTCTTGATTTTTAACTTCTTGTTCACTCATGTTTTGAATAATTTATTTATATATGCACAGTAGAGTGTGTCACTACTAAAACTATTTCGAGAATACGAGTGGGAGAATGGGGAGGGAGAGAGGTACAACAATATCAAACTACCTCTTTTAAAAGGATGATATAAAACAAAAAATCAGGGAATAAAAAACTATTTATATTTAAACTATAATTCCCAAAACTTAAATTTAAGTATATATATATATCTTGGATGAAAGAATACTAGCAATTGTAATTGGAATAATATATATATAGCCAAAAATGGTTGGTTAAGACAGTAGAGGGCTATATAGTTGAAAATTAGAAAAAAAAGAAGGTACAATACAATACAAATAGAAATTCTACAAAGACAAGAACGACACACAAATATTCCAATAATTGCCCATCAGTGTATGTTTTGTATAATATGCATCAATCCACATTTATATATATAGCTAATGATAAAGTAACCTGTTTCGAATTATCAATTATATATACTATGAAATATGCATACCTTAATTAAATTTCGCTTAAGAACAGTAAGCAGCCAGAAGCAAAAGAAAGAGCATTACGAATAATATTCAGACTTGTCGTCAATAGAACGAATAAGAAAGTTCTTCTTTCGAAGCTTTTTGGAACAGCAAAGGAAAGGAAACAAGTAGAATTAAATACCTCCCAAAGTGTTTATTGTTATTTCTGTTTTACTCTGTATGTTTCTTATCCATCAACCCCCAAATCGGTCAAATCAATCACCAACCACCCCCCAAAAACATCCTCCCCCCTCCCCCCATTTCATCATTAACAAGAGCCCCCCTTCGTAAGAACATCAACTAGACAAATTACCCTTCCAAGAGGGACTGTTCATTATACAAGTGGATATATAATATGGTTATATAATTATGTATTCAAACAGGTAATCCTCAACATTGCTTAATGAAAGAAGCAGAAGTAGAGCAATCCTATCATCATCATCATCATCAACTACCATTCAAAAGACTCAACTCGAGTTGCCCTGGTCGTTCTTGTTCTTGTTCTTGATATTAGCAAGTTTCCTCTGACAAGAAACTATATAGAACCTGTATCTTTAAACGCAAGACATCACCATCATCACCTGTTGCACTTGTTGTAATGCAATCGTTGGTGTTGGTGTTGTTGTAATTTGTAGTTAGTTACTGAATTAGCTTTACCATCTTCCTTTTATTTGATCAATAGGGGCCTTCAAGGAGACCAAGTCGACCTTGCAACTGCTGTACTTGTTGTTTTGTCTCTTTAGTGAGTGGTTGAGTAGTTATGTTGTTGTTGGTCTGTATATTTCCAGTCAGATCAAATCACAAGAGAGGTCTTTAAAGTCTTAATCTATTGCATTCTTCTATATCACCGTCAGAGATGGAGAAGGTTTAATTTAATAGGTCAAGAATTCTCTATTAGGTCTTCTCTTCTCTTCCAGTTTCATCCCAAGTGTGCAACTGTTGTCTTGTTTTACTCATGTTTAACACACAATACTCGAACTCATTTGAATTTGCAAGCTATTTCTTTGGATAATGAATGATGTTGTAATTAAAAGAAAAACCCCTCAAGAAAAGTTATCTGCTGTTTTATATCTTATCTTATCTGTTCCTGTTTCTGATGCCAACACTGTTCTTGTTCGAAAAAGGTTGGCTTAGGTTTTGTAGGTAACCTTGCATGAATTTTTGAGAAATGACGTAAATTGCAAAATATTCTTGATTGTATTTCATGCTTACTCTTTT